GCTGCTGTGGCTGACAAAAAATGCCAAGCTAAGGCAAAAGTATAGACTAAAGCATATCTTAAATCCACCAACAAGAAGTGTATCAGCTAAAAAGAGATCTAAAATCATAGCAAGAATATTGCAAAAGAGGCAGACCAGTGCATAATATAAAAAAAATTTTCTAAAATTAAGACGAAACAGAAGAGCTAGATACAATCTAGCTGAACCAAAAATTGATCTCAAAAACAGATACATAGCAATAATTAGACAAAAACTTGCTAAGAATAAAGGAGTACAAAAGCAATTGAAAGTTGCTTGTAATATTGACAAGTCTTTGCCGATTGCTGTCATGCAGTCGGGTATTAATTTAATTGCAGCTAGGAGACTTGTTACTGTAATATTAAATATACGTCGACATTTTGCTGGAATGCTTCTTGGGGTAATCAAAAAAGTTAATAATAATACATACATTGGCAACGGGGACTTTGGTGTTTCCTATCACGTGGCCAGTTGTGAGCCACACTTACCAAGCATGCTATAAACATGCCCCATCAATTGTAAATGATGATACTGTAATTATAGATGATGATTTAGCAAAACTTATCAACGGTTGCTTTGATGACGATAATGATGTAATTTTAAGCAAAGATGCAGAAAAAGACGTACAAAATGATAATGTTGTTACTAGTGACACAAAAGACAAAAACGATGTAGACAGTGGTAAAAGGGTTAAAAAAAGAACTGTAAAAATAGCATGTACTGATAATTGTGACCATAATTGACAAAAGGGCCCTTATGGCGGATTTTAAAATTGATAGTTATAATGGAAAATATCAACCTGTGAGTGCTTTGCTAGACAATCATTGTTTCTAAAAGTTTCATGGTAACTTTTTGCATCCTGTGGAGTAATTTTATGATGAATGGGGCTCAGGAAGTTGGATTTCTTAGGCTAGAAAGACAAATTTCACTACCCGCCATAAGGTACCTTTTGTCAATTATGGTCACAATTGTAAACCACTGACAGATTTTCAAATCGAAACAATCAAAGATTTAAAAGAACCATTCAGTAAACCTGCTAAGGAATTTTGAAAAATTTTGAGAAACGTAGATATAGGTTGCCCAAATGAGCATGATCCACAAAAGAATGGTCATCCATTGACTTGTTATGAGGATGACAGTACATGTAAAAGCAAGCTAAGAATATTGAGAGCTGCTTCTCCTCACTATCCAGTACTACGCACTTTTCTGCGTAGTGTTTATCAAGCCAGAAATTATGATGAAGCTGTCAATCTAATAGATCAAGCATTGAGTGAAGGAGATGTGGATGCTTTAATTAAAATTGCAACCGAGTCTGATTCAAACAACGAAAAGAGTGATGTCGCCCAAATTTTCTCTTCTAGATATGAGGAGAGTGATAGCGACATAAATTTATGGGATCCAGACTTAAAAGTGAAACTACTTACAGAAAACGTTAACCTGATAGCTGATTTCAAAAGGAAATCAGCGATCAAAATGAACATGCTTGTTGTAGCTGCAGGAGATTAATGAGACGTGGTAATCTCCCCAAAGTTTTTGATAAGGACAAAGAGAGCGAGGTTTGGAGACAATTGGAAACCTTCCTCACCAATTACGATCGACATTTTAGCAGCAAACAACTTTTAATGTGTAAAATTGCAAGCCTACAATACGTAGCAATAAAATTCCCAACAGATGTGTATTAAATGGTTTGCAAAGTGAGCCTTTGCCAGACGAGCTGAAAGGCCTAGACGCCTTTAGTACACAGTTAATTCAACTAGCAAAATGTTTCCAAACTGTTGTTAGACTGGGAACTTGCACTGCTAAAGTTCCATTATACAACTCTTTAAAAGCATGCAAAGGGACAGTGTTTTATCTCCCATTGCCAGTTGAAAAAACAATGAAAACTTTAAGTAAAGCAGAAGACTTTGGACCGAAAAATCTGCCAAATCCCGAATTGCACCTCATTTTAAACAGTGAAGCTACAAAAACTAATAAAATCTGGCGCACTTTAGTTGATGTCGACAAAGTGCAAGCTGCTTATGAGAAACTGAAAGACATCAACTGGCTTTATGGAAATCTTGACGACCAATCCTTAGATGATGTAGCAAAAAAAGTCGTCAAAACAGCCAACAGTGCTACCAGTACTATGGTGGAGGAAGCAACTGATGAGGACATTCAAGGCTTCCAGTCTTACACAATTCAGAACATGAATTCGAATTTAAACAAGGGGAGCAACATCCAGCAATACAAGATGACGCATGTCAGGGAGACCCACTCGATAACAGACAGATGCACTTGGATGTCATGTGCTTTCCAACTCTGTTTCCAACTGGGAGGTTTGGAAAGTATCATCCAATGCCAGTGAATCTAAATTAAGCCAAATACATAAAGTCTCGAATTTTGAGCGAAAACTCTCGATATCGATTGTGCCACTCTTACCTCTTCTACTATCTCAGAATCAAACAGATCAAGGAGTTGAAGGGTGGCATATTCAAACTGCTCAATACAGTGAAAGGTCCCTCCATGACTGCTGCACAGTTCGTAGACCAAGTCAAAACGAATGGAGAACTTCTTGAAAAGAGGCTCTGTACCATGATGAACACTGTTCGTGGCTCAAACCAATACTGGTACCTGAGAAGAAGTGAAGTGAAACGCATGATAGCAGAGTTTGGGTCTCCCACTTTCTTTCTCAATTTTAGCTGTGCAGAATGTACCTCCGAAGACATTAGAGAGTACTTGCACAAAGTAAACACTGTCCCACTGTCATATAACACTGGCAAACTCTGCACAGAAGATCCCGTGTCTGTATCGTGACAGTTTTCTCTAAAGTTTAACGAAATGTTTAATAAAGTATTAATCAAGGGACAGGTTTTGGGCCCGGTTAGTGAGTTTTATTAGAAGAAAGAGTACCAGGCCAGAGGAGCTCCTCACTATCACTGTTTAATCTTGATAGCCAATGCTCCAGTTGTCGGTGAGAGTAGAGCCGAAGATGTAGTCAGATTTATAGATGAAAGAGTAACTTGTAACATACCAAATAAAGATACCTGTCCACAGCTACACGAAATTGTTACGAGGTACCAGTTACACAAGTGCAGCAATTACTGTAAGAAAAAGAGGAAGTTTAGCAAAAACGTATTTGTTACAAAGTGCAAATTTGGATTTCCTCGCCCAGTTTCCGAAGAAACTGTACTGAAAAATGTCCAACAAAGCATGAAAGCAGAGAAAAGAAAATATCACCTTAAACGGAGCGAGGAAGAAGTGAGAATCAATGATTACAATCCTCTGCTTCTCTTATTAGGGAAGGCTAATGATGTATCCTTTACCAGTGAGTGTTCTCTTGCTCTGGCCAATTATGTGAGTGGCTACGTGACAAAGGCAGAAAGAGGTCACATGCAGGATCTGTGGCAAGACATCTTAGATGATAGAGGCATCTACAGTAAATTGTTTAGAATCGGCATAAGATGTCTCGACAACCGACCCATTGGACTATATGAAACATGTGATATATTACTCGGTGAGCCACATTGTAGAAAATCTAGAGAGGTATCATGGATCAATGTAGAAATGCCGCATAAAAGAAAACGAAATTTAACAAAGAAACTCAGTGAAGTTGAAGAAATAGCAGCAAACGATCCATCAACTGAAGAGTTTTATGGGGAGGGCCTTGTCACTCACTTTTATCCAAACAGAGCCCAAGAACATGAAGAATATTGCCTTTATGACTTTGTAGCCAAACTCACATACAAGGGCAAAGATAAAAATGGCGAACGAATCTATAGACCACTACAGAAAGAGCGACTTCCTAACTTTATTGATTTCGATGTCTATAAAGAAAATCAGAGAGACAGTTTCAATTATGCCATCATTCTCCTTTTCGTGCCGTTTAGAAATGAAGATGAATTAGTTCATGATGGTGAAACTGTCCAAGAAGCATTCGATCGCCACATTTTCGACCACGAAAGGTGTGTCGAAGCAAATGAGAAATTCAGAAAGTTGCTCAAATGCAGAGAGAAATTAAAAGACATACAAGATGCCAGAGCAGCAAACAGAGAAGAGGAAAACGATGTAGAAGACGACATTCAACAACTGATGGGACAGATTAAAGATGCAATGAATGACGTGAGAGATATGGACACTGGATCTGGTCTCACTCTGCAAGAGAGAGAATCGATGCTAAATGTAGATCAAAAACGTATCTTTGATCAGGTAAAATCTCATCTATTGAGGCAAATTGAATACGAAAAGAAATCGAAACAAGAGAAGGAGCAATCAGAAAGTGTAAAACCGTTGCACATGTTCATCAGTGGGGTGGGTGGCACTGGTAAATCTTTTCTTATTGAGGCAATTAAAGCACTAGTGAAAAGCCTCTGGTCAGCACTGACCAAACAGACATGTGCAGTTTGTGCTCCAACAGGATTAGCAGCTTACAATGTGGGAGGTGTGACAGCACACAGACTGTTTCAGCTGCCAATAGACATGAAGGACAGTGTGCCTCATACTGGTCCATACCAAAGGCTAGTCACAAAGTAATGAAAACAAAACTTCAGGATCTGAAAATGGTAATCATTGATGAAGTGTCCATGGTTTCTAGCCTCAATCTCAGTTACATACACATGAGAATGAATGACTTATGTGAATCAGACGAATGGTTTGGTGGCAAGAATGTCCTCTTTGTTGGTGACATCCTTCAATTGCCACCAGTTCGTGGACAACCTGTGTTTGACAAAGTAACAGCATCAACACTGAAATACAGACTTTGTAGTATGGGTGCAGTGAACATATGGCGTGATACTGTCACCTATGACGAATTGACAATAAATGAAAGACAAAAAACAGACCAGAAATTTTCGGAAATGTTGGACAAAGTGAGACGTGGCTTTCCAGACGATGAGACTCTCGCTACACTTTCCGAAAGGGTATTTTCGACGCCCATTGAGAAAAAATTTAAAATATTACAACAGGGTGGTAATGCCCCAGTTTGCCTGTTTCCAAAAGTAGACATGTGCAAAGAATTTAATGAAACAATGCTGGCTAATCTACCAAGTCCCACCGTGAAAATAAGAGCCACAAATTTAATTGATGGTACTGGCAACATACATGTACGTAGAAAGAAAGATGATGATGATTTAGAAAAAAAGGTTGAGAAAAAGTTAAAAGAATTAAATAAAGATATTAACAATACTGGTGGTTTAGAAGCCAAATTAAAATTGGCTGTGGGGGCTAGAGTAATGTTGCATTGCAATGTAAATGTTGAAAAGGGATTAGTGAATGGAGCACTTGGTACAGTGCAGGCCATTTCAGAAACACGCATAACAGTTAAATTTGATAGAATAACTGATCCTTGTGAGATTGAGAAAGTCAAGAGAAAGTTTATGGTAATGAAAAATTTCTTTGTGTATAGAAGCCAGTTTCCTTTGATATTAGCTTTTGCTGTTACCATACACAAATGCAGGGACTGTCACTAGATAATGCAATCATTGATCTGTCTGAAAACGTATTTAGTGCAGGAATGGCTGACGTTGCTCTATGACGAGTACGAACACTGTCTGGTGTCCATTTGACATGTTTCAACCCCAAATCATTGATGGTTTCCTCTTGTAGCATAAAAGAAATAAACAGGTTGAGACAATTGTACAGGCCAGACCTCCCACAATATGCCATTCCTACAGATTGTGGCAGTAGAAAGCATACACTTACTGGAACTATTAATGAACCACAAGCAAAAAATCAAAAAAATATGCCACCACCAAAGGTAGCTCGTGATAAGAGGAGTAGGCCATCAGACAGTAAGAACAACGATAAAGCTAATTGCCCTAAAAAACCACCTACTGTTATCACTAATAATAATAATAATGACGATAGTGATGATTGTGTGATGACGGGAATGAGTACAAGAGCTAGTTATTTAAAATACCATCCCCCCAATGCTGCTACTCAAAAAGCATAGTGTAATGCCCTAAACTTGGGATTTGTTAAATCATACAGACCAAAGTTGGGTAGCCCAACCACAGAATTAACTGTACCCAAAGGATCTACTAATATACCTGGTGATGGTAATTGTTTATTTAATGCTCTGTCTCATGCCATTACAGGTTCTTATATTCAGCAAAATTTCATCAGATTGGCCATTATTAGGCACATGCCTACAATGGAAAATTGGCTACGTAGTTGGCTGACTCCCTATAATTCAGTAAAAGAATATATTGCTGGGGAAGGTATGGATAAGAATTACACGTGGGCGGGAGATATCGAAATGTTAACAATGGCTGATTTACTGAATGTGTACATATGTATTGGCCATAACTTAAAATGAAACAGTGTTGTATTGGCCATAGATTAAAATATTTAAAGAGCAGTGTCATATTGGCCATAGCTTTTAATGAATATTAATGAGACAGTGTCATATTGGCCGTAGCTTATAATGAATGATATATGAGACACTGATATTGGCCATAAAAATTAATGATAATACATGAATAATGAACTAGACACTGTCATATTGGCCAGTCTAAAGAATAACATAAAATGTGATTGTTGAGACACTGTCAAAGATTTAATCTAAAGGCACTGTTTATATTGACACTGCTATATGGCCATCTTTTCCCCTTCGATACCAGCTTGACCTCATCGTGGTGAAGGGGTCACAACAGTTAGGACACATTGCCCTTACTGGCTAACAAAGCTGGCTTTATGTATATTACATGGTTATGAATATATAATATTACAAAAAAATTAACAGCTATTACAAAAATTAAAAAAAAAGATTGAGTAGGATTCAGTGTGTTAATTCATCAAAAAAGTAATAGAAACAAGGACAAGTAGGATTTCAAACGATCGATTATTCTGAACAACAGATTATTCCGAATGACTGACTATACCCATACGAACGAAAATACGAAATGAAAATCCTACTCTCGTGACGCAAATTCTACACCACATTGTACTTCTAACGTAATTATGTAAGAAAATGTATATCACCTTATAATGTAGAGTAGAATTTGCGTCACGAGAGTATGATTTTCATTTCGTATTTTCATTGGTATGGGTATAGTCAGTCATTCGGAATAATCTGTTGTTCAGGATAATCGATCGTTTGGAATGATTGATCGTTTGGAATCCTACTTGTTCTTGTTTCCATTACTTTTTTGACGAATTGACACACTGAATCCTACTCAATCTTTTTTTCATTTTTGTAATTGCTTGTAATAAATTGGAGTCTGATATAGTAAACTGCAATCCTATTTATTAAATTTGATTTCTATTAAATAAATTAAATCTCATATAATAAATTTGAGTTTTATATAGTTAATTAGAGTCTGTATAGTAAATTGGACTCCTATAAAGCAAACTGAAGTCCGATATACTATATTGGACTCCGATATAATAAATTGAAGTCTGATATAGTAAATTGGACTCTTATATAGTAAACTGAAGTCCAATATAATATATTGGACTCCTATATAATAAATTGGAGTCTGTTTAGTAAATTAAAATCCAATATGATAAATTGGAATCTTACATAGTAAAATAGAATCTGATATAGTAAATTGGACTCCTATATAGCAAATTGGAGTTTGATATAACAAATTGGAATCCGATATAGTAAACTGAAGTCCAATATAATATATTGGACTCCTATATAATAAATTAGAATCTGATTGGACTCCTATAGTAAATTGGGGTCCAATATAATAAATTAGAATTTTACTTAGTAAATTGGAATCTGATATGTTAAATTACAATCCAATATAATATACTGGACTCCTCATAAAAATTGGAGTTATTACTTTCTTATCAATTACGGTTAATTTTTAATACACATTATTATAGTTATTAATGTTTGTTATTAATGAAAAATCGATCATTCATAATGCATAAAGTTTCAGAGTTTCTAGTCATGTCAGTTGCATCAGATGGAAAATTACTTGTGCGGCATCTTTATAAAGCTGTACACCAAAATCACTACATCGATCCAGTGGATTAACATTGTCATAAAGCAATGATAAATCCATATCAGAAAGGCCTATGTCAACAGATGGAACAATAATGGACTCATCTGTGTCTTCATCCAAAGAAACATCATCTGAATCATCAACTCCATATACACTGAAATCAACCTCCTCCTCAAACAATGGATTACCAATGGAACCACCTGTGTACAGCTGCAAAGGGGACCTATTGCATTCTGATGACAATTGATGATTAATCCATGCTTGCATAAATAGATTGAGAAAGTGATTAATGCGTGGAATAAAGATATAGTGGAGGCAGTATCAGTCTCATTTTCTGGATCCAACAGTCCTTCTTGTTCCAGCTGTGTGAAGACTACAACATAACTAGTTGTGACAGCAGTATACACATCCCTCCAAAGACGTTCAATACGACAATTGTGTACACTTCGTCCAGCAATGTAAGAGTTGTGATTCCTCCCTCGAGCTTCTTCTATGAAGCTCCACACACCAACGTTTTCAGCACCATGGTCAGACCTCACACAAAGTGGTACACCATACTGTCGTGTAGCTTCAATGAAGCTTTTTGTGACGGTTTCCGATCTATTGTTGTTTGAGCATTTAAGGTATGTAATAAGTCTAGAAAAACCATCTATCCCACCATGTGTTACAAGGCGCCACTTAATCAATTTATGGTGGCCATCAATATGCCACAGATAATTTAGGCCTGGTAATAAATAAATCCTTCTGGATATGGCAGGTAGAATCTGGTTATCATCACCTCTTGCTCTTCTGACACTTCGTCGCAATCTTTCTCGCTGAACACGCACAGCTTGTGATGTCAAATAGCCTCTGAGCATTGCCTCCCCAGCAGCATGAAATTCAGTTAAGTGTCTTACTACAATTGAGTCAATTTCTTGGTCAGTGATTACAGAATATAATGGCAAATTCCACTCTCGTGCCCTACGACAAAGAGTTCTCTTAGATACACCTAGTATCTGACTAATTTCTGTCCATTTAAAGTGAAGTGAGCGTAAGTAGAAAACGTTATTTCTATCGATATCAAATCTTCGTCTCCCTCTCTCGGCCATTGTAGCTCTAAATCTCTGACTGACGGCTTTGTGAGCTCTGTAATTGTATACGGTATCATGGGAGGTACAAATTATGACTAGGGCTAGGGCAAAGAGAAGAAAAAGAAGCCGAAATAAGCACAGGCCATATATTGAAGTAGCCGGGCCCATTGCATTGAAATTGAATCACGTAACTGACTATTGTTGTTAATGTTATTGTTGTTAATGTTATTGTTGTTATTTATTATTATTATTATCATCATCATTAATTAATTATTACGGTATTATCACTTCACAACTTAACACGTGCGCACGCAGACGAGCAAGAACCAAGAAGAAGCAAAGAGGAGACAAATCAGGGAAGCATCAAATCATGTCAGAGCTCCAATCTGTGGCTGCTGCCATTATAGAAGCCCTTCGGACAGCTTCCCAACCATCTCAAAGTCCCAACGCTTTGACTTTGTCTATGCCTCCAGCTATGTCTACGACGCCAAACACACCATTGTCTGTGACGATTCCAACAGCTACGACTATAAGTCCAGCAACTACGAGCGGGAGTACCTACAATTTGGCTAGGCAACAAGCAGCATCTACCTCTCTGAATACACTATCTATGAATACACCGAGTACTTCTGATGGTAGAACTGCAGGAAGCAAGAGAAAGTTGGTTCTGCCGACGATGTTCCAATAAAAGGCAGCCGCCAAGAGATCAAAGTCAGCACTCAAGTCCGTCAGGTACTTAAGAGATATTTTCTGTCTTCCTCATGTATGTCAGTCTGAAGATGGTACAATAGCTATTCCTAGAGGTACTCGTCGTAATGCACTAGCAAACCAAGAAGTCGGTTTACTTGGGAAAATTGAATTTGAATCAAGTTGGACAGCAGATAGGATGAGAAAAGAGATCAGTTTAGTTTTTATCAAGCCATTTCGCTTGACTCGTGATGATGTTGAAATTAGTGGCAGATATATTCAGTTTGATTATTTGCAATGAACTGGGGCAGGATCTCGTACATTATGTGTTCCTACTATTTCAATGTCGTTTGAATGGAATGGGAAGCAGGTTGCATCTTTAGCAAAAAGTGGGGGCACAATATACATCTTAGCAAACGAAGAGATCCCAGTGCTTCATCATGAGGTAAAGTATTTAAATCTAAAATTATTGGTAATATCTGACGTTAAAAGCATTGCAGTAATATGCTATGCTATGCTATTTATATAGGTTATTAGTCTTGACGATGATTCCCGTTCACCATCTCCTCATTCACTGCCACCTCCCATATTGTCTATAGATAGTGTACCATATCCTCAGCATTCAGATGTTGCTGCTGTTGAAGAAATTGAGGCAGATAACCATTCAAGGTACAGTATTATTACATTACAGCAAATTGCACAGACACGCCACCCCACAAGGGGACTATCAAAATTGAGGTGTGTTTTAGTATTTTGTGGTCACATTAAACAAACTGCCCCCACTGGAATCAAGTATATGCAACTATAATCAGATGTGGGAT